TAACTTGCAGAGAATAATTCTGTGATAGCTGAAACTTTATGGGGGAAGGAGGACAGAGGAATCAGATGGAGTGTATCAGTGATACACCACCCAAAACCCACTATTAAACAGTTCGCCCTGAACCAGAAACTCAGTTCCTAAATACAGCTGATACAGTGAGGTGGGGCAGGTTATGAGCCCCTTCAAAACTGGCAAAAAGTGTCCTGACAGAAATCCTCTTACTTCAGAATTGGCAACTCGACAGCATTCCCCACTGCACTCAGGGGCCATAGGCCACAGCTTGCGCGGAGTAGCACACAAAGCTTGGTTTTTTAAAGCTTCCCTGAAATGCCTTAACCATTCTACCAGGGGGATACTTAGCGCCCACTCAAGCAAATGTTGGCACGGGTACTTGAGCAAAAAAACGCAACCACTAGAGGTTACTTACTTCTATACTTACTTGTGCAGTTAAGGCTTTTCCCTGTGGTACTCTCTACACTGAGAGAAAGTGACTAAACAGCTCATGAGCCTAACTTAGCAACCTGCACTGTAGATCACTTTCAAATAATGGAAATAATCAAGAGGTCTGAATTATGTCTTGATATTCTAAAGCTGTAATGGTCCAAGCCATTAACATCAGGAAGGGAAAAGGTTTGTTTCTACTAGCTTTTAAATGTTGTTTGGAAGACTGAATTAGACATTACAGGGGAATCATTTTTGCTGTTGACACCCTATAGCTGGATTCTGATTTTATTGTTATTATTACATTTGGTTGCTACCCATCTTTCCACAAGGTGAATCTGAATTTTATGTTAAAATGTCTATCAGAGAAAGGAATAAAACTCCGTTGTTACATCTTCCTTTTTTGTCCTATTGCTTCAGTCACAGATCGGATTGTACCTGATCCTGGAACTCAATCTGAGGGTGGGAGATTGATAGATGAATCAGTCTTGATCCCATTCAAACTTCTGAACAAAGTTAAAAAGTCAAATTTTATTAATTTAGACCTTCAGATCAATTTAGAAATCCCATCCAAGTGGGACTTTTTAATTAACTTTGAAAATGGAATTGATTTGATTTGGACACTGAGATTAATTCAGAAAAAATGCGCTTGAGTAAAAAACCTGTCATACTTCCAAACTGGATCTGAATTTTCTGCACTGATGGAGAGTATCTTTTTCATTGCTTCAAACTGCTTTGATGATATAATTCCGAAATCCAAAGCAAATTCCTGGCTGGTACAGATCACTCTTGAACTGACTCTCCTAATCAAACATTTACATTGTCTTATCTTTATTTCAGTGGAAGCTAAAGATTGGGAGAGCTCTTTCCAACTTCCATATCTTAATTAAATCTCCACTTCCTGCTTAGACAGACACTTGCAGCCATCATTAGTCACCCTTGCTTGGCCCACCCAGAAGAAAGACTGACTCCAAGAGGCCCACACTATGTTATTTTCCTAGTGTAGAAAGACACACACTCCACTGTCAGGGTTCCCAGCGATCGCCCTAATTAAATCATGAGCCTCAAGCCAAGCTTCAAAAGAATCCAAGATTTATTAGGTGCAACATGTTGACATTATCCCAGTTGAAGCCAACTCTGGGTCACCTGTTTGCCCCCTTTCGGCTTACTCTCTCTTCTGCAGTGAGAGGTCATCCTTGTAAGACAAGATACCTTCTTGTCTGCCTTGAGCATACATAGATTTTAAGTTATGTAGGCTGTTGAAATCTAGTTTCTTGTGCATGTCAAGGAAGAGAAAGTGAGGATACCAGGAGATTTGTTTCTTGGTGACTGAATAGCAGAAGCAGGAAGAAGCTTCAGATTCCTTTTAATGGAAATCCCCAAGGTGCTTTTTTCGAGCTGAAAAAGTTTCCTGGATGGGAAGCGAAACGTCTTCAAAGAAAAACCAGAAAGTCCAGTTGCCTCTCGAAAAAAAGCACCTTTGGGACAACCATGACCTGAATGACTGAGAATCTCCATAGACTTTTAATGGAAACTGTTTTTTTTCTTCTGAATGCCTGCTATTTCTTCAGAATGTAAAGAATGACATTTGACATTAAGGTGGTGAGAACATACCTTTCTGATATTGGGAGAATGGCTTTCACTGAAAGAGATGTCATAGATATCATAACGTCCATACTTCCCCAAGGATTTTGTCCTAGTATAGAAGCCCTCACCCAAATCCTATTGAAATTATATACATTTTAAAGTAAGCAATTCAATGAACGGTTTTGCAACGTAGCATTTGTAGCAAGTTATGAAGACCCTGGATAACCATTATTCTCATCAGGTCAAAAATAACTATAAATAGGATAGGCACTGAGTGTTGCACATTTTGACGATCCCAAAGAAAGGCAATGAGAATGGGAACATACAGAAAGGTAAAAAATTAGGGCTATTTCTATTTCTGCAGTTTGCTTATCCTGCTTCACTTTGATAAGGATCTCATATTGCACTAAGCTACAGTTTGCTTAGTTGTGATTTGCTCAATAAGCCAAATTTGGCTAGGATCACATAAACAATATGTGCTAAGCACAACTAAGGCATATGTGCTAAGCCACACTGTGGATTAACCTTGGCATGCCATATGAACCAAGCTTATAACTGCATCCAAACTGATAAAGCTTCTGAATTCTCATCATCTCTTGTGAAGACATTTCTTGGATGGTTGTGACCTCAATTCTCATAATCTCTTGTGAAGACATTTCTTGGATGGCTGCCTCATGAAAATGTTTTTCCTGCAAATAGAAAAATAAGTTTTAATGTTGCTAATTTGATGCTGATAATCTGTCAACTCTAAACAACTTTGTAAGCAAAGAATGTGCACCGGTGACCTGTGTCTTTGGCCAGTTTTCAGACAAAATTTTGACAAAAGAGCAAGAGAAATGCTAAGCTCAGTAGGAACAGCAAAATGCTAGAGGGAATCTCTGGGAAAGGGAAAAAACTGCACAAGCATCTCTGGGTCAGAGCAGAAGCTCTTTTCTTACCCATATTTACAACTGTACAGAATGCCTTGAAAACCTCACTACTTCCCAATACCTCATTTTATCTTGTTCCCATATCTCATATTTTAAGTAGTGTCCTTCCCATTCTGAAAAATGTGCATGTGTTCCACTGGTGGGATTCACATTTTTTTACTACCGGTTCTGTGGGCGTGACTTGGTGGGCGGAGAAGGGGAAGGATATACTGTAAAATCTCCAGTCAGAGGTGGTATTGGCCGGTTCTGCGAACTACTCAAAATTTCCACTACCGGTTCTCCAGAACTGGTCAGAACCTGCTGAATACCCACCTCTGATGTATTCCTGTTTAACCCACTAGAGAATCAGGGAAAATTAACACAATTCATTCTATTACATATTCCTCGCCCCATATTTTGGTGATGCGTACTCATGACACAAATCTGTTTAACTGCCTACTGGAACAATATCTGTCTGCCCCCTTCCCCTTCCCCAATTTGTACAGCTTCCACCCTACCTGCCTTTACACGGACCTTGAAAATTCAGTTCTTCCCTTAGGACTTCAGATAGTACGCAGTCATACACTTTTAAGCTGGGTCACACACTTTTAAGCTGGGGCAAGTATTTTTCTGGATTGGCTCTCTTTCTGGATGGCTGCTGTTCTTTTTCATATGATGTTGTTCTCACCCATTTTTCTTTGTGAAACCATTCAAAATAATTCTAGATTTGGATAGCCCAGAAATCTGATGACTGACAGACTAAATAATAGATATACAACTTTACTCATTCATTGCTAGATTCCTGAGGAGCGTATCTGTATGTAAGGAAGGCAGGTGGGAAACATTGACTATTCATCAGCTACTCAGCACTGTCAAAATATTCATACATACAGAAGCCCCTCCATGGGAACCAATAAAAATGTCCTGACCCACAAGGACAAAAGCTAGAAAAGCAAGTCAGTATGCTTAAAAAAATTATCCAGAGGGAACCTGTTCAGCAAGTGCTTAGCATGCTAAAAAAAAAAGTCTATATAAGGGATTGCTTGATGCACCAGGCAGCACTAAAGTGTTGTAATCCAGAAGACGGCACAAAACAGGACAGCTCAAAGCAGGGGGACAGCAATTTGGACTGCTATTCTGACTTCAGAACAAGGGTGCTGCCTCTACTACTAAAATAGAAGAGAGGTGCCCCCCTTGGCTGCCAAGGATCTTCTGCTGCTCATTGGCAGTAAAGGAGCCACCCTCTGCTGCTTCAAACCCACCCTTCTCTGCTTGGCTTGCCATGGGTGGCAGTCAAAGCAGGAGAAAAGAGGAAGGGGAGGCCCTCTTATTTTCAAGAGGCCGCTGGACTGGTTTTTTTTTCCCCTTTGAAGACGTTTCTCTTCTCATCCAAGAAGCTTCTCCAGCTCTGACTGGGCGGTGGGGAATGGCAGGGTTTATACTCCTTGCAGACAGCTGGTCATTTGTATCCTTTTAGAGAGTCGTTGAGGAAGGTTGTTACCCTGAAGAGCAAGGGTTGAAAATTGCTGCCCCTGGAAATTGTAGTCGACTGAACGGGGTTGGAAGAATAGGTAAGTTTGGACTTGTCTGCGTTCCCTGAGGAAACTTGGGGATTTAATTCTGCTTCATACACTTTGGGCTAAACGTAGTTTTTAGATGCGTCCTCTCTAAAAAAAAAAAAAAAAACCGACTACAAAGGAGTCTTAAATGGCTGAGGCAAAACCACGGAAGTCCCGCTCCACGGAGGTCGACGGAAGGAGCCCGGGGCGCGGGCGTGTCAGCCGTAACGCCGCGAGGAGACCGTTTGTGTCGCTTCGCCCTTAAGAGGCAGCAAAGGACCCTCGGAGAAGGGCTGCAAATCCCTCCGCCTCTGGGGCGAGCCCGGACTGAAGTAGGAAGAACGACTCTCCCCGAAACGAGGGCGACGCCGGCCAGGACTTGGTTGCCGAAGTGGCCGGCTTCCTCGTCAGCGGCGTCTGGAAGGGCGGAGATGGGCGCCCAATCGGAAAGAGTCCCCCGAGGGAGCCGAGGGGCGGGGCTGCTTTCTCCGCTGCCTGTCAAAAGGGGAAACAACCTGCAGGGGAAATACGCGTCTCCGACCGCCCCGGCCCCTTTGCCAGTGGCTTGGTTTGTTTTTTTGGCCAGCGACCTGCGCTCCACTTTTGAGGAGGACGGAATGGCAGTGGACCCTTGACCTTTAGTAAGGAGGTACGTCTAGGAGGTGATGGCGCCCCTAAAAAAAAAGTGGGTGAAGTATAGGGGAGCCTAAGTTTCACAAGCCAGCCCTGTTCAATCTTTTGCCGCAACACCCGCGAAGAGTTTAGTGGTTTTACTTTAAAGGCTTACGGTGCTTCTTACTCCACAAGCTACGAGCCGCAAAAGGATAGGCCGTTAAACAGTTACTCTTTTTGAGGTGCGGAAGAGTCTTGGGGATGCAAGGAGGTGGAAACGGAATCCCTCTGAGCTCAACCTTTGGGCTATGCCAGTTGCTTTGGAGCAATGTTCGAGTGGGACATACCGTGAGACATAAGTCCAGGGTCCCTAGAATAGGTTGCGCTGGCTTGCAACTCTTGTTCCTAATTTCACAGGAGAACTTTGGTGTGTGTATTTGAGAGAGAGAAATTGTTTCCCCCAAAATTATGGGAGAGGTTTTAAGACTTGAAGAGGTAATGTCAAAATAGATAGGGAGAAAGGAGAGAGAAATAGTGTAGAGTAGAAGAAGTCTAACCAAGTAGATAATCCAGCCCAAATTGATCACTGACTGGACATTTGTTTCCTTATTTCATTAGGTTTTCCATACTTGGCTGTTTTGGAAGGTATTAATATTGACATATATTCAAATGTCAAGATATAGACTCTGTACAAAGTTAAAATGGTTTGTACCACCTCCCATTTTTTTTATCATCTGAAAGAAAAGTCGAGAAATGGTGCTTTCCAACAAAACTGGGAAATACTTACAGCTAAACTTTAGAGATGTTGATACTTAAACTCTAGTAACAGTTTATGTAAGCGAAAATGTGGAAATTGAATTTTTGGAATGTTGTCAGAACAAATGTTTATGCTTTAATGAGAAATTACTAGTGGGTTTCTTCTACTGCTGTTTTTTCCTGTTTTTGTTGCTAAAAGTCATGGTGTACTGTGGAAAAAACATTCTTTGTTTGATAATCTATGTAAACCTAGCAAAGCTCACCAGCTGGAGACAAATGGGAGTTCATTTGTTTTTGAAGAGGTGAAATGTTCTCAGAGAGAAGCAAGAAAGGAAGGAAGAAAGTTACAGTTTATATCACAGGAAGTAAAACATCTCTATAGCTCTTTTAACTGAACAGTCTTTGTGGTGTTGACTTTGGTGTGACTTGCAAGCACGTGAAGTGTCCTGTGTTTTGCACTGGGACTGGGTGGGATGGGGCAACTGCTTGATGAGAATTTGGGAGGGAGCAATACTGCGAAGGGAACAGCTAAGAAAGCCTTTAGAAACCATGGAATCAGGTGTAGAAAACAATTTAAATGTTATGAAAGTTATGAATATATTTAGGAAAAGATTTTTTTTTTAAATGGTGAAGACCCGTTTCAATCAAGCTCAGATGGATAACTCCTTGAACATATCCACATAATTTTCTTGGCAACAGCATGGAAATTATTTCACATTGCTCCTTTACAGTCTAGGACAGAATGCAGTTTCTCTATAAAAGGAGATTTGAACACACTGAGCTTGCTAATGGTCTACAACGTCTGAAAAATAAAAGCTGTTAAATGGTTCAGCTTAGCTGGTTTCCTTGGGCTATGCTTCAAGGATTGCGGATGCCCATCTAAGTTTGTGGATAATGAGATTTGTGTTCAGCATTACATTGTCTTTGTAAAGCACTGTTTGTCTCTAGCCTTATCTCTCTGAAGTCCTGTCCACTGTTTGTGGTTCTGAAATGGCAAGCAGAGATACTGAAGCAAAGCAGTTGAAACCTATCTTACTTTACTGTGTTTTGAGGGCTGGTTCAAGGGTACCTCTCACACAGTCATGTACTTCTCTTTGACTACTTCAATCATTACTGAAGGTTTCATAAAAACTGTGGTTTTGCGCTCTCTCTCTCTCTCTCTCTCTCTCTCTCTCTCTCTCTCTCTCTCTC